CTTGAGTCTGTCGGCTCTGACAGCCTTGTTACTTGCAAACTTTTCGTTCAACTTTTTTTCTATATATCTAATTTTGTAAAACGCTACCACACTGTGGATTCCTTTGACAAAACAAAAACCAGCCACGACATATCAACCAAACATATTGAGCAATTGACTCAGAGATTACAGTCCTAATTTAAAGACCTATAACTCTGCTGCCTCTGCACAGTGAAGATACTATTAAATACATAGAGTGTATAAGTGTATACTTTAAGTCATACTAACCAGGAGTAACCACCCGGTGCAATTTATGACTAGTGTCTTTTTTTATATATTGCGTTACATATTACTGTATTATGATATTGCTAATATGAATAAAGATAATACTTATTCCATTTAATGACTTTTTTAATGTGCATTTACTTCATATTAAAATATTTTGCGGAAATATTAAGGCATGAAATTAACAAAACATTATAATTACTATCCAAAGTCAGAATAAAGAACGATTAGGGCTAAACCTCTGTTGATACTTCCAGGTACGTATGATCCAATCATATTTCAGTCTCATGTGTCATCAGGTTTAACGAAATCTATCCTAAAGTCTTCAGAATCTCAAGAGTTGGCGTTCTAGAGCCTAAAACTAAAAGGCAATGAGACTGTTTCTTCCAACAGAACCAGAGTTCCGTTGTCGATTTGAGTGATTCGATTGTATGGTCATAGAACGCGTTCCCCTAAATCCACCCAGCTGTATCTAGCTAATTGCATGCTAGCTAGTTATTCTCACTCCTCTACTGTTGAGCGGACGATCTCAGCCTAAAGCGATTTAAAACGTTTTCCGTAAATAATTCCGTAAAAACGACAGAACATACTGGACCTTCTGCTTTAGAAGGGATGACGACAGAACATGACTAGTTGTTGGAACTGCAACTCGTGGATAATTTATGCAACGGAGTGACTGATGTCATCTTACAAGTTTTGGTGAGTAAAATGCTTTCTGTCTTTTAAATAATATTGTAATTTTATTGTGTTACTATTGATGCTTTTTGATGTACATTTAGTCGCAGCTGTGACTGGATTTGTGCTTCGTTGTTTCGTTGCTTTACTAGTGGTGTTATTATGGCAACATTGGGTATCTCGGATATGACAGCTTGTTGTGCTACGTTTCTGCATATATTTGTGGTTTCTGTAGACATAATGACGTCATTACGATATGGATTCATTCAGTAAGGACGCCACTCAAGGCCTAGGCCTAAGTATGACAAAGTTTAATATTTCTGAGATTTTAGAACCACATCTCGACTTGTGATGGTCCCCTTAGGGACGCCACAGGTAACTGACTAATTGTGTATACTAAAAAAAA